TGGTAGGGCTACACAAGCTTAATGTCACTCACTTGCTCTTTGAGAGATCAGAACCCATGAAACTTCTAGGACATGTTTGGGAAGCTGAGAAACTAGGGCTGTGCAACGTTTCAAGTCAATTGATTGAGATTTCGGCACATTATGGTGCGTTAAAACTCTCTTTACATTAAGCTGTTCACATGAAATGTTTTAGCATTGTAAAATATAGCTTCATGTGGTTTGTACGGACAGAAGGTTTTTTATCTAAAATGCATTCTATGCGCAGCACCCCCCCCCCTTGAGCCCCCCTAACACTTACCTTAGCTCCCTCTCTCTCCAGCGATCACCATGACTTTCTCAGCCTTCCGAGATTCTCCTTCCTGAGTGGCTGAGACAAAGCAGTGGTGCCATAGGCTCCCACTGCTGTCAAAGTCAGCTAGCCAATCAGAGGAGAAAGGGGGTGGGGCTTAGTGGGGCTCTGTTTCTGAATGGACACATGGAGCTGTGACACAGCTCAGGTGCCCCCGTAGCAAGCTGCTTGCTGTGGGGGCACTGAAAAAGAAGGGAGGGGCCAGGAGCACAGAAGAGGGATTAAAAAACCAGAGGAGGATCCGGGCTTGCTCTGTGCAAATCCAACTGCAACAGAGGAGGTATGTATCACCATTGTTATTTTTATGCAAAAAAAAAAAAAAAAAACGCATTGACTCCTGCTGTTTTCCCTCCTGGGTAAATGCATCTCTACTACCTCCACTCTTAACTCAAAATCACATTCACTCCTGTTATATTCAGAACAAATGGTTTATATATATTTTGTGTATGTTGACCAGTCCTCACCTCCAGCTGCACCCAGTTTACGACTGTAGCCTGGTTCCTAAGAAACATCCCCCATATTCATGTGAGCCTTATCAGCTTCTAATTGGGGTAAGTTGAATGCTCATGTGAGCATCTCCCTAAAAATTTAGATCAGCTCATGGGGGGGAAATCAAAAAAATGGGGGTGCCAGTTAAAATATTAAAAACCAGATTGAGTGCGGCTTAACAAAAAGTGCAATGCAAAAAACACAGCAGTTGAACTAAAGCAGGAGAACTTAAGCAGCAGGAAACACACAACAACAACAAGAAACTCTAACACGCAAAATACAAAAAACTTGCAAGCATCAAAACACCCTGTAAAACATCTCTTACCTACCTGAGACCCACTCCATGTACCTTTACCCCCTCTTCTCCTCTTCATATTACTATCCACTGCTTAAAACCCAAATCTCATTTCTTTACCCCAACCACCCCAAAAACTTGTACATCTCCCCCCTCACTGCTATCATCTCCCTCCCATTAACTGCTCTCATCACCCCCCCAAAATGCCTCTTCTTAAACTCCTTCAACATTTTCCTCTCCTCCATTCCCAAAATCCATTCACTATATCCCTCTCACCAACTCCTCCTAAAACATTTGTATATTGTGTCCTCACTGCTTCCTTCGCCCCCCCCTTATGGCACCCACCACCTCCTCCTATTAAAAACTATCCCTAACCCAAAAACACCTCCACTAGGAGTTTCTCACGCTCCTGCAAATCCCACTCCCATGCCACCTTTCTCACCCTTCTCCTCCCAAAGCCGCGGGGGACATTAACAACCCCCAAATCCTGGCACCCATCCACCACCTCAACTCACCGCACAACACCCTAACCGCCTCCCGTCGTCCTACCGAAACCCCCGCAACCTTAAATCTAAAACACCCCTGCTCCCTAAAATCTCCCCCCCGTTTTCATGTGCACTCCTGAACGCCAACTCCCAACCCCCAAAAACTTACCCCATCCACGACCTCTTTGTTTCCCGCTCCCTCAACCCCCTACGATCAAAACAAAACCTGGATCCAGCCCACTGACTCTACCCCCCCCTGCTGCACTCTCCTACGGAGGTCTCACCTGGACCCACTCACCCAGACCTAACGGTCGTAAAGGTGGTGGGTTGTTGGTTGCTCCTGTCACCGCAGAGCACCTTCCGATCCTCCCAAAACCCCCCCCCCTATCCCTCCCCCAACCCCCCCCACAACCCACCAACACCACCCACACTCCAACCACCCCCCCCCCCCCCCCAACCCCCCGACCCCCCCCCCCCCCCCCCCCCCCCCCCAACCCCCCCCCCCCCCACCCCCCCCTTTCCCTCAACCCCCACCACCCCCCCCCCCACTCCCCCCCCTGTCCTGCCCCGACTTGGCTATGACCTGCCTACAACGCGCTGTCAGCAGCCCTTGACTCACACTAGCGCCTTTAACCACACGCAACATCAGACCCCGACCCGCTCCCCCCCTGGCAGACTGATTACCCACCAAAACCCTCAAACGACACAGTCGTGCCCCCTGGAGCGACTATGGCGCAAAAACAAAATCCCAACCAAGCCTTCACCCGCTACAAATCTGCCTTCCGCACCTACACACCTCCTCCCTCCACGCAGCCAAACAAGCCTACTTCCGGACCCCTCATCAAGACCCTCTCCTCCAACCCTCGCCGACTCTTCTCCACCTTCAACTCTCTACTCTCTCCACCCCCACCTCCACCCAGCACCTCACTCACTGCCCTTGAGATTGCCAATCACTTCAAAAACAAGATTGACACAATTCGCAAGGACATCCGCCGCACTCACACGCCCTCTCAACCCGTCCCCTCTCACACTGCTACCCCCTCATCCCCCCTCCCCCTCGACATTACCCGCAGGGACTTCGTCACTGCTCAAACTCCCTCCAACCCCGTTCCCCCTCACTCAGCTGCCACCTCATCACCCCTCTCCCACGGCCCCACCACTGCTCTGACCTCCACTTCCACCCCACCCTACATTCCTCATACTGAAGCTTCCCCAACACTCCCACACCTTTGACCTTACTACCATCGAGGAAGTCTCCAAGATCCTCTCTGATGCCCGCCTCACCACCTGCCCCCTCGACCCTATCCCCTCACAATTCCTACGACCTCCCTCCCCCTCCATCCTACGCTCCCTCGCCCACATCTTTAATCTCTCCCTCTCCTCCAGCACTTTCCCCTCCCCACTGAAGCATGCACACATCACCCCCATACTTAAAAAGCCCTCCCTGGACCCCAATGACCCGAACAACCTCAGACCCATCTCCCTGCTCCCACTTACATCTAAACTCCTCGAGCGCCTCGTCTACACCCGCCTAAGCTCTCACCTCAACGACAACAACCTCCTCGATCCCCTACAGTCTGGCTTCCGTCCCCTACACTCCACCGAAACCGCCTTACTCAAACTCTCCAACGACCTTCTAACCGCCAAAGCTAATGGCCACTATTCAGTGCTCCTACTCCTTGACCTCTCTGCGGCCTTCGACACAGTTGACCACCCCCTCCTCCTCAAAATACTACACTCCCTCGGCCTCAGAGATTCTGCTCTCTCCTGGCTCTCATCCTACCTGTCACAACGCACTTTCAGCGTTACCTATAATGCTACCACCTCCCCCTCACTGCCCCTCTGTTGGGGTCCCTCAAGGCTCTGTCCTTGGGCCCCTTCTCTTCTCCATCTACACCTCCTCCCTTGGCCAACTCATACACTCTCACGGCTTCAACTACCACCTCTATGCCGACGACACACAAATCTATCTCTCAACCCCCCACCTCACCCCCTCGGTCTCTGCCCGAATCACACACCTACTGAGCGACATATCAGATTGGATGTCGCTCCACTTCCTTAAACTGAATCTCTCCAAAACCGAGTTTCTTGTCTTCCCCCCAGCCCGAACCCCACCCCCCATTGACTTCTCAATCACATCCAACAACGCCAATATCAAACCCGCCCTGCAGACCGGAGTAGTTGGTGTCATTCTGGACTCCAACCTATCCTTCCAGCCCCAAGTCCAATCTTTAACAAACTCGTGCAGACTCCACCTCCGCAACATCGCCAAAATCCACACGTTCCTAACCCCAGAAACCACTAAACAGCTCATCCACTCCCTCATCATATCACGACTCGACTACTGCAACTCCCTCCTCACTGGCCTGCCTCGCCGCTGGCTATCCCCGCTTCAGTCGATCCTGAATATGGCTGCCAGACTCATTCACCTTCCCAACCGCTCCGTTTCCGCCAGCCCCCTCTGCCAATCCCTCCACTGGCTTCCGATTGCGCAACGGATCAAATTTAAAATCCTAACACTGACGTACAAAGCTGTCCACCATACTGCCCCGAACTACATCACCGACCTAATATCCAAGTACCGCCCAGCACGCACACTCCGCTCCTCACAAGACCTCCTTCTCTCTAGTTCCCTGGTCTCCTCCTCCCATGCCCGCCTCCAGGACTTCTCCAGGGTGTCACCCATCCTCTGGAACTCCCTGCCCCAACCCATCAGATTATCACCTACTCTCCTCTCCTTTAGGCGCACCCTGAAAACCCATCTCTTCAGGGAAGCATACCCCCTGCTAACTTGACCGACCTCCTCCACTCTTCCTACCACTCCATCCCCCACAGCTATCTCCTCCTGTACCACTGTCCCGTCCCTTCTAGATTGTAAGCTCGAAAGAGCAGGGCCCTCGATCCCCTCATGTTTTGCATTGTATTGGTATTGTTCTGTCACATGTTCTGTCCCCCTTTGTAATGTACAGCGCTGAGTGAACTATTGGAGCTTTATAAATACTGTATAATAAATAATAATAAATAATAATAAATGAGCCTTTACTATCACTTTAACGTGAATAACCTTTGGTGTGATTTACCAAATGATCTGAAACTTTCAGAATATGTTGCCATAGATAGAATCTTCTATTGTGTGAAGTTTGGGGGAAGTTGGTTAACATCTAAGCTCTTTTTTGTACATTAAGCCACATTTAGCTCCCCAAAACAAACAAGCTTAATGTCCCCCATTTTCTTTGTGGAAGGAGGAGATCTATGAAACTTCTCGGACGTGTTTGGGAAGTTGAGAACTTGGGCTGTGCAACGTTTCAAGTCAATTGATTGAGATTTAGGCAGTTTATGTCACGTTAAGCTACATTAACCACTTCCCATCCGGCCGTTGTATATAAACGACCTCCCCGCACCCTGCTTGTGCACGTTCCCTGGGAGATCGCAGCACTGCGATCCGCTGCCCACTGTGTCCTCCGATCATGTGATCACAGATTGGCCAATCAGTGATCACATGCAGAGTAGTAAGCAAGATGTCACTTCCTGACATCATTGCTTACTACGCGTGAAATCTGTGAATGATCACAGAGGTCACATGGTACAGGGCTATTCACAATAGCCTTGTACCATGTGACAAGCTGTGACCAATCACAGCTTACTCAGTACTTCTCAATGACTGCAAGAATGCAGCCAGAGAGGAGAAATGATTGCTATTACAGCCTTTATGGGTGTAAAAGCAATCAGTGTAAAAAAAAAAAAAAAAAAAATCTTCATCACCCCCCACAAGTAGTACAGTGTCACCACTGTACTGCTATGGTGACAGTATGTAACAAATAATAATATAAAAAAAAAATAAACAAAATGTAAAAAAAAAGTTTAAAAATTATAATTTTTGGTTATAAACCAATTCAGGTTATTTTTTTTTTTTTACTAAAAAGATAACAGAATAAATTTTGGCCAAGATTTATGATGAAATACTATTTATTTGCAAAATTTTATAAGAAAAACACTTTTTTTCAATATTTTTGGACTTTTTCATTTACATAGCAAAAAAAATAAATATCCCAGTGGTGAATAAATACCACCAAGATAAAGCTTTATCTGTCTCAAAAAAATGCTAATAATTCATATGGGTACAGTGTTGCATGACCGCGCAATTGTCATTCAAAGTGTGATAGCGCTGAAAGCTGAAAATTGGCCTGGGCAGGAAGGGGGTAAAAATGTCCGGACTGCAAGTGGGAGAATGTGTCTGGACTGGAAGTGGGAGAATGTGTCTGGACTGGAAGTGGGAGAATGTGTCCGGACTGGAAGTGGGAGAATGTGTCCGGACTGGAAGTGGGAGAATGTGTCCGGACTGGAAGTGGGAGAATGTGTCCGGACTGGAAGTGGGAGAATGTGTCCGGACTGGAAGTGGGAGAATGTGTCCGGACTGGAAGAGGGGGGAAAGTGTCCGGACTGGAAGAGGGGGGAAAGTGTCCGGACTGGAAGAGGGGGGAAAGTGTCCGGACTGGAAGAGGGGGGAAAGTGTCCGGACTGGAAGAGGGGGGAAAGTGTCCGGACTGGAAGAGGGGGGAAAGTGTCCGGACTGGAAGAGGGGGGAAAGTGTCCGGACTGGAAGAGGGGGGAAAGTGTCCGGACTGGAAGAGGGGGGAAAGTGTCCGGACTGGAAGAGGGGGGAAAGTGTCCGGACTGGAAGAGGGGGGAAAGTGTCCGGACTGGAAGTGGGGGAAAGTGTCCGGACTGGAAGTGGGGGAAAGTGTCCGGACTGGAAGGGGGGGAAAGTGTCCGGAATGGAAGTGGGGGAAAGTGTCCGGAATGGAAGTGGGGGAAAGTGTCCAGACTGGAAGGGGGGGAAAGTGACAGGAAGGAGGTAAAAGTGTCTGGACGGAAAGTGGTTAAGCCATTTTTACATTAAATGTTTTCGTCTGTCCCTAGTCAGAGTGCCCCAATGGCACGTGATTCTCACAGAAAAAGCTGTTCGCTTTTTAGTTCTAAATGAAATGTAGTGAGTGCCACCTAAAAGGGTCACTCAAAAACATTCAGTTATTTGTACACATTTCAGTAAACTAGTTCAGGTCTTTGAACGTGTCTATCGAATCCAAAGTCTGAAAAGGAAAAAACAAGTTCACCAGCCAGTTCCTGGCTTTAATGTAAAAGTGATTCAGGTAGATGTAAAGCTGCCCAATCCCTTTTATGGTACTTGCAGGATGCTGTCCATCCCACCATGTCCATTAGACCCCGATGTCTCCTCAAAGAGAACCTGTCATTTGCCCAATACTATTACATAGTAGGCCTGTTATCCCTCTTGTGATGGCAATAAAGTTACTAAATAAATACATAAATAAAAGTGGTTTGAAAAATGTAAATGTAATAAAATCACATGGACACATGTATGTAAATGATTATACGTCACATTACATGTCGATGTGTACACAGGAGTGGCATAAATAATTTTAGGTCACTTACAGTGCCTTGGAAAAGTATTCATAACCCTTCAAATTTTCCACATTTTGTCATGTTACAACCAAAAACATCAGTGCGTTTTATGTGATAGACAAACACAAAGTGGCCCATAATTGTGAAGTGGAAGGAAAATGAGAAATGGTTTTCAAACATTTTGACCAATAAATCTGTGAAGTGTGGCTGGACTCCTTTAACCAGTTGCCGACCGCAGATAGCCAAATGACGGCTAAACTGCGGCCGGCCAGTTCTGAGTGGACGTCATATGACGTCCCCCCAGAACGCGCTCTCCTGCGCGCCCCAGGGGGCGCGCACCCGGCGATCTCCGTGATCGCGGTGTCCTACGGACACAGCTGATCACGAGATGTGGTAAAAGGCCGATCATACCGGCCTTTTACCACGTGATCAGCGGTGTCCAATGACACGCTGATCACAGGGAAATGCAAGTGCCGGTTCTCGGCTGCACTTTCCTCACGCTGTCAGATCGTGAGGAAAGTACTGCCGAGAACCGGCAGTTGTAGAGCGAGGATCGGCACTGATCATCAGGGCCACTGATGATCAGTGCCCTGATGATCGGTGCCCAGCAGTGCCACCCACAAGTTCCGCCCACCTGTGCCCAGCAGTGCGCCCACTAGCTCCGCCCACCTGTGCCCAGCAGTGCCCCACTAGCCCGCAGTGCACCCACCTGTGCCCAGCAGATCACCCACCTGTGCCCAGCAGTGCACCCACCTGTGCCCAGCAGTGCACCCACCTGTGCCACTCTGCAGTGTCACACACCTGTGCCCAGAAGTGCCACCTACCTGTGCCCAGCAGTGCCACCCACCTGTGCCCACCCACCTGTGCCCACCTATGCCACCCACCTGTGCCCACCCACCAGTGCTGCCCACCAGTGCACCCACCAGTGCAGCCCAGCAGTGCTGCCAGTCAGTGCCACCAGTCAGTGCCCAGCGGTTGTGCCAGTCAGTGCCGCCAGTCAGTGCCCAGCAGTGATGCCAGTCAGTGCCATCTATCAGTACCCATCATCAGTGTCACCTATCAGTGCTGCCTATCAGTGCTGCATATTAGTGCCGCCTATCCGTGACACCTCATTAGTGCTGCCTATCAGTGCCGCCTATCCGTGCCACCTCATTAGTACTGCCTATCAGTGCCCTTTAGTGCTGCCTATCAGTGCCCAGCAGTGCCGCCTATCAGTGCCCATCAGTGCTGCCTCATCAACGCACATCAGTGAAGGAGAAAAAAATACCTGTTTGAAAAATTTTATAATAGAAACAAAGAAACTTTTTTTTTTTTTTCAAATTTTTTGCACTTTTTAATTTACAGCGCAAAAAGTAAAGCGCCCAGTGATGATTAAATACCACCAAAAGAAAGCTCTATTTGTGAGAAAAAAATGATCAAAATTTCATATGGGTACAATGTTGCATGACCGCGCAATTGTCAAAGTGCGGCAGCGCTGAAAGCTGAAAATTGGCCTGGTAAGGAAGGGGGTATAAGTGCCTGGTAGGCAAGTGGTTAAAAGGGGGTGAAGCTTGCTCAGTCAAGGGGAGGAGGAGGAGGAGAAGGAGAAGTTGGTGGTGGAGATGCTGATGGAAGGAGAGAGAAAAGTGCTGTGGGACTGTGAGGAGGTCTGCCAGGATGGGACCTGCCTGCAAGTCTGGAGTCAGAAAGGGGAAAACTCAGACCTCAAGGGACTCTTTTTAGAGGAACACTTGTGGAGCAGGAGAGAGCCGTCCAGATCACAAGCCTGGCCGCTGCAACTCTCCACATGCCTTACAGGAGAGCACTCTGAGTGAGTACACCTACAACCCCTGGGTGGATTGGGAGGGAGCACTTTGGTGGGAAACCAGATTCACCCCATGTTCTAGAGACTGTGCACCTTATCTAAGGGAACAGGATCCACCCATCTCATCCCTATACCCAGATAATGTAAATAATAGGTCTCTCTTTGGGCCAGTTCTCACCACAGGCAGTGCAGTGCTTTTTTCTGTATCAAGGCATGGGAAGGAGGTTACATGGGTTCTAATGGTATAGTTCATATACACCAGTGCAGTCAGTTCCAGAAAAAAAATAAAATGTGCTGTATATTTCTGCACAAAACTGTACTAAAATGCTTTACAAAAGCATAAAAATGCACTGGGCCCCAGTAAAGTGACAGGAAAAGGAAGGAAAATATATTTTAACCCCCCCCCCCATGATCCTCATCTTCTCATGATCCACATCTGGACAAGATGAAGCATAGAAGGCTGTATCTGGACCCTGATGGGCTCCATCAGCAGTGGATGTTCCAGTAATGCCTTCTCTTGTGGGCATGCAGTCTCAGCAGTGCAATGGCCATAACCATGAATAAGCCTGCCAGTGCAGACATCTTCTAAACACAGCAACATAAAGCACTCAAAGGACACTTCCAAGCAGTGGTTGGTGTCACCTGGTACGGTAAAACATGGTGTCAACCCCCAATAATATTTTTGAATATAACACTGCATATAATGGCAATAATAGCGCCGTTAACAACTATCAAGTCAGGGTACAGTTGGCAGTAGGTTCAATCGGTACAGTTGGCAGTAGATTCAATGATGGGTAAGTGAAGGTCCATCTGGCAGTAGGCTCAGTGACGGGGAAGATGGCGGTACAATTGGCACTGGGATCAGTGATGGGGAAATTGGGGGTACAATTGGCAGTGGGATCAGTGATGGAGAGGTTGGGGTACAGTTGGCAGTGGGATCAGTGATGGGGAAGTTGGGGTACAGTTGGCAGTGGGATCAGTGATGGAGAGGTTGGGGTACAGTTGGCAGTGGGATCAGTGATGGGGAAGTCCAGGGTACAGACAGTAGATGCCACCAGCAGGCTTACTCACGTGCTATGACCCTGGTGCCCTGGTGTCCTCCAGCTCCCGATTAGCACAGCCACTGTGCTCCAGCCTGGCATCAGACGCTGCACAGCAGTAGCACAACACACACGAAGTTCAGCAGATGGTGGAATCCACAACATGGAAGTTCTCCAGACATTGGAATCCCACCTGGTAATTGCCAGCAGCATCTACCCAGCTGTGGCAGTACTCCCCCTGAGCCCAGGCATTGTCTCAGGAGAGCACCAAGTAAGCTGCTAGCAAGCCCATAGTAGTGTCCAGTGGGGGTGAAACCATCGTGGTCGGGTATCACTTCCAGGGGCGGACTGACCATTTGGAAACTCGGGCACTGCCCGAGGGCCCGGGGTCAGTAGGGGGCCCCATGAGATGCCCCTGGTACACCTTTTTCATAGGCTTTTTTGAGTTTGGGCAAGGACACAGGGGCCCCATGATCCCCTATTGCCCGGGGGCCCCATGAGTTGTCAGTCCGCCCCTGATCACTTCCTAAATGATGGTGTCACCCTTCTGGCAGGGTTGTTGATGAAAACAATGATTTTGCAATTGAATTACCCCTCCCCCCCCCAAAAAAAAAAAAAAAAAAAAAAAAAAAAAAAAAAAAAAGAGGGAAGAAAGTATTTGGAATGCAACTGGAAACACAGCAAAAACATGTTAAAAAAGTACATGCAGAAACGCATCTGGAACGGATCTGGAGGATGTTTTTGTGGTGTGAACTGGCCCTCAATGCAGAAACAGTTCAGTTCCTCAGACAATAAAACATGACTTAGACAATATACAAAATATTAAAAAATAAATTCACTCCCCCCTTCCCCTCAATTCCTTTCTACCCTCTTTTCCACCATTTTTTTTTTTTTTCTCTTCTTCTTTCATTTTTTTTCTCTCTCTCTCTTTGAATTTTCATGCTCAATAAAACATTATGAAAATAAATAAATAAAATATATCATGTATTAGTAAGCCCCCTTGTTCCCCCCAATTAGCGGATCACACCCCTGGATTATCTTACCTGCTATAGGAGTGCAGAGATGCAGCGATGCTATACTGTCAGTGCGCAACTTTCAGCTGCTCAGGAAGAAAATGAGCTCCTTCCCCTCGGTTCGCATTATACATACAATGGCAAATTCTTCACCAACTTTCACTTTCACTTTTTCTAGTTAACCGTTTTATAGCCTCGGAATGGTGTTTTCAGAGAAGTCCCGTGTTTTATGTGCAATAACGTGCTGAAGATCATACAGTCTAGGCTAAAGTTCAGGCAAACAGCTAAATACACAAATGAAATGCACATAACTGAGCAAATGAACGATGAGCGATTAATGATATGCACAATATTTGTGGAGCGCCACCACCCTTAAGGGCCGCTGGATTTAAATTGGGTCCCCCTAAGCTCTGCACAGCCAGGCAGCTCGCATTTTCAACAATTTCTCCTAGAGTCAGCAAAACATTCCTTGAGCTTGTTTTTTTGTTGATTTTATTAAGGGCTAACAACTTGGATGGGGTCTAGTGGGTGACGAACGCGGTGCCCGACCCCCGCCCTTCTCACCAACTCATGACAAAGGAGCAGCCAATCTCACACCGCACTGTCACTTGCATAACAAGGCCACTCTCAGCTGCACCCTGCACAAAAAATTTTCAGCACGCGGGTCCGAAATCCATATGCCAGCAGCCTGAGAGCGATTGTGGGTTAATTAATGATGCAATTAACCCTTCAATTAACCCTTCAAACTCCAAGCTGCCACCAGATGGTTTTGGGACTATCAACCCTTCACAATGTTAGCAAGAACAAATGTGAACAAACGTCTGTAACACACACTGTCACCACAGACAGGAATATTCAGAGGATTATTATATAGAGTAGCACTCTACAAGAGTACAACAAATATGACACCTGCCCCCCCAGTCTATAACTGGCTTATGAAGCAAGGACTACGTGAACCGGGCAACGCATGTCAATAAAAAAAAAAAAAAAAAGGTTCAAAATCAACTTGCCAGCCAGCTTGCCAACAGCCAAATTAACCTGTCTAACAGTATGCGTTAAAAACAGGTTTAATTAGCACACATTTGTAAATACATACGTAAGCCACAAAGCCACATCACCGCACCATGGTATTCTGTGGTCCTAACTCTACAAATTTTGAGAGCCCCCATAGTAGAGGCACATGTATTTAAAGGATAGATCAAGGGCAGGTGCACATCAGGGAGGCCACCCCTCTTAAAGCTACAGGAGTGCAAAGGAACCGCAGCATGTAGCACAATGGCAGCCAGGGCGCCCAGTGCACCCACTCACCTTCAAATCAACAGAACAACCAGGGGCGGACTGACAACTCATGGGGCCCCCGGGTAATAGGGGATCATGGGGCCCCTGTGTCCTCGCCCACACTCAAAAAAGCCTATGAAAAAGGTACCAGGGGCATCTCATGGGGCCCCCTACTGATACGGGGCCTTGGGCAGTGCCCGAGTTTCCAAATGGTCAGTCCGCCCCTGGTTGTGGAACATTCTAGTTGTGTCAAAGCTTGCCTGCACCATTCCGGTCCCTGCACATTTCGATTGACCATCGAGGCAGCCTACTGTAATGATGGGCCAATAGGAATATATGGGAGGCAACATACAAAGGTTAATGCTACTAAGAGCTTTGCCCAATCACATCAGCCCTGCAGTCAGATGTAATGGAGTGGGGTGACTGAATGCTAATGTGGGTCTGTGCTGTCACATATAGGTGCCTTCACTTTGTACCCAATATTTTTTCTTTTACATTACAGCATTACTTTATATTATTTAAACCCAAGAATAAGGATGTAATATCTTGCAGCTTACCCATCTTTAGATGAGGGGGCTGAACTAGTTTTCTTGTTTTTCAGTCTTTTTTCCCATATTTTCACCTGGTGATCCTGCCAGTAACATTATCCTAGGGTGACAACGCTCACTCACTGTATTGTATTTATTAAGGAACAGTGTTGTCACTCAGGACCGCAGAATACCTCACCTTCTCCTCATCTCTAACAGAGGTAGGGTTTGCTGCAGTTCACAGAGAGAACTGAAAGTAAGTCCTCACGCACACGGGACATTTTTACAGCGGCTGTTTTTGGCTTTTTACATTTTTTTTCTACAGTCAGTACCCCCCCAGCCTGTTATCCTATGTGTCCGTGCACACAGACTGGAATCAACGTTTTTTGGCAGGGATGTTTTTTGGCTGGAAAAAAAACCCAGAACTATTGGGTTTCTAGAGGAGTTTAGCCGTGAAAATGCTCTAACGCTGAAAAACGCGGCAAACCAGTGTTTTTTAGAATTTTTTTGACCAAAAAAAAACCAAAACATTTGTTGGGTCAAAAAAAAAAAAAAAAAAACCTAAAAAAAACGCTAAAAAACACAAATGCAAAAAACATGACTAAAAGCCAATTCAAAAACGTGAAAAAACTCAAGTTTTTAACGTGACTTTACACAGCTAACATTACCAGCGTTATTAAAATGCCCTCCCCCCCCCCCCCCAGTGTGCATGAGGACTTACTGGTAACAATTTGCACAGGCGGAGAGCACAGGAGGTTATCAGATCATTGGACTTAAAAAGGTATTTTTCGTCTCTTCTCGGACAGACAGGTCACTTCCATGGCAGGTTTAACAGACCAAGATGGAGCAGATAGGAGAAGTTCATTGTGAGGGTTTTGCATGCTAGTTATCCACCTAATAGCCCAACTTCAGACCACGCGCACCAGAAATGATTACAGACATATTAGGTGAGTTTCTAAAGCTTTAATAATAGCAATCATTTTACAAATAATATGCACATTAATATCAATCATTTCATATTTAGGAAATATCTTTATAACAAAGTACAATATCTTCCATTTTATTTGGTCTCCCTGCACAGATATATTTGACATATAAGTTGGGGGATCTCTTCCAGGACTCCACAGTTGGTAGCTATACATTGAAGGACGTGTTCAGATTTTATAATCTAATGATATTCTGCTCCCCAACTCTTTTTAACCCCCCCCCCCCCCCCCAAGCCACGTATCTTCATTGCTGAATTGAATGGGGCTGTAAAATGAGGAAACCTTGGTTTACTGCTGGATTCAAATCAATGGGACCTTGGCATTTAAGAAGATTGCAGGGATAAGGATGTAGACACAGAAGTAGGCCATGGCTCTGTAACAGAGGATAGTAAAGCTGGCCATATACTGATGGATTTTCTCTTCATTCAACCTGCAGGTTCCACCATCCATACTCTACAGTGCAGATGGCCCAATCTTCAGGGCTGGCTATTGTATTATGAGAAAAATATGTAAATGGACGTACCACACCACTGCTAAAAGGTCCAGATATGACTTTATGCCAATAAAAGTCAGGGGGACAATCCAAAGAGTAGCCAACACAATTTTGGGAATCTAAAAACACCCCTTTCATCAGGGCTTGAGGCCAAACCACCTGCTGACAAGGTCTGTGCTTGACATCGCTTTAGAAGAAAAACCAGTAAAGATCCAGTTCACTTTTTCATTTCAAGCCCTGAAGCAGGAGGCATTTTGGAGCCCTGAAATGCATTTGCCACTTTTTGGATTGTCTTCCTTAGCTGAAATAAAGTCATGTCTGGACCTTTTAGCAGTGGTGTGGTGCAGTTTACATTTTTGGTATATTACACTGCAAGCCAAGGAGACCATGGAGATCTTCAGGGGTGTAGAAGCCTCCTGCATGGGCACAAGGTCACTTATATCAACATCTATACTTTAAGGTAGCAAAACCAATACGTTGACCTTATTTACAGCCCTATATTTTCATTTTCCTCAGCTATTGTATTCTGTCAGCAGCCGGGAGTGAATGTAAAAGCTGCTGCTGCACCCAACATAAACATTACATAGGTGGCAGTAAAGGGGTTAAAATAGTTTTCTAAAGTGTTACAAACCGGGAGTGCATTCAATATGCTGCTGCACCCAACATAAACATTACTACATCCGCTCAGTAAACCCCGCATTCACTATATCCCCGGTTTCATCCGCTCTCCCCAGACCCAGCATTCACTATATCTGGTCTCCCCGGACCCTGCATTCACTATATCCGGTCTCCCCGGACCCCGCATTCACTATATCCGGTCTCCCCGGACCCCGCATTCACTATATCTGGCTCTCCCCGGACCCTGCATTCACTATATCCGCTCTCCCCGGACCCTGCATTCACTATATCCCCCCTCTCTCCCCGGACCCCGCATTCACTATATCCGCTCTCCCCGGACCCTGCATTCACTATATCCTGCTCTCCCCGGACCCCGCATTCACTATATCCGCTCTCCCCGGACCCTGCATTCACTATATCCGCTCTCCCCAGACCCTGCATTCACTATATCTGGTCGCTCCCCGGACCCTGCATTCACTATATCTGTCTCCCTGGACCCCACGCCCATTCACTATATCTGCTCTCCCCGGACCCCCGCATTCACTATATCCAGCTCTCCCCGGACCCCGCATTCACTATATCCGCTCTCCCCGGACCCTGCATTCACTATATCCGCTCTCCCGGACCCTGCATTCACTATATCCGCTCTCCCCAGACCCTGCATTCACTATATCCACTCTCCCCGAACCCCTGCATTCACTATATCCGTCTCCCTGGACCCCGCATTCACTATATCCGCTCTCCCCGGACCCGCATTCACTATATCCGCTCTCCCGGACCCGCATTCACTATATCCGCTCTCTCCCCGGACCCTGCATTCACTATATCCGTTCTCCCCGGACCCTGCATTCACTATATCCGTCTCCCCGGACCCTGCATTCACTATATCAGGTCTCCCCGGACCCTGCATTCACTATATCTGGTCTCCCCGGACCCCGCATCCCCACTATATCCTGCACTCTTCCAAGAAAAAAAAACCCTCTATAGCAATACACACCAACTGAGCATGTGCAGAATGTTTCCACATGATATGCCTTATCAGAGGATAAGAGATGGACACTGGAAGAAGGGGAGGATAAGAGAAAACAGGATCAAATAGCCTGTCTTCAATGCAGAGGATTAACCCCTAGGTCCCACAGTGAGTATAACAAGCATGCTTCCCTGCATCTACACAGACTGATTGTACTGTTGTGGGGGTTTAGTAACACTTTAAATGCCTTCAGAGATTTGATCCGGCCCTTAGTGAAAGCTAATCTACTACTAGAGTAAAACTGTCCCGTGATGTATTTATATATCAAAGAAATCATCAGTTAAAACTCCTTTTGGGTTTTTAATGATATCCGTTGGAGATTTCCCCTCACTTCCTGGCCTGGTGTTTTACCAAGGAGTAAAAATCTGACAGGGGGTCTAGCCTTTCCCTACTGTACTTAAAAAAAAACTAAATCTATCAATTAGACATTTTTTTATGTCTTTTAAGAAACGATTCCCATTTTAAAGCTGACAGTTTGCACGCCAAAAGATATATTTGTAAGGTCTCTGCATCCTAGTTAGTTCTGGCAGTTTGGACAAATCTTATATTTTTTCTACATAAACCAAACAAACTACTCTAAAATAATCTAATAATTCACAGCTTTGCTATAAGAAAATCTAATATATACCTAGTATTATACTGAAACTTGTCATAAAAGAAATATGGAACCCACCATCACTCGGCTATTCTTTCCTGGGCAGTCATGTTGACATTCTTCCTAATACCTTAAAGGCTAAGTCCACCTTTTACAGAAAATATCCTACACAGTCAAAGGGCCCCAGTAGATAAAACTGTCCGGCTGTGTGAAACATTCATTTTCTTGTCATCCCTGTAGGCCATTTGGGTCACCAGAAGCCTGGTCAAAAACCTTCCAGTTGGAAAACTACATCCTGTCTTTTAGGGTGTAAAAACCTTTGGACAGTCACTTTGCCACCATTGGATTCCTTATCACATAAATGAGATCAGTGGTGGGCAACCTTTTTTTTCAACTGAGCCAAATCTCGCCAAAACCACGATTGAAATTTATTTTGAGAGCCACATTTTTAAAACTGAAAATACATAGGATGGTACACTGTTTTTAGTTTCAATAGTTTTTTTTATAGTAATTCATCCCCCATAGTATGTTTTCATCCCCCATATAGTAATTCATCCCCCATATAGTAATTCACCCCCATTTAATCATCCCCCATATAGTAATTCATCCCTGATATAGTAATTCATCCCTTAGTAATTCATCCCCATAAAGGTTCATCCCCCTAGTAATTCGGTCCCCCTAAAATTCAAGCCCCATAGTAATTCAACCCCCATAGTAATTCACACTGACCCCATACTAGTAATTCATCCCCCATATAGTAATTCATCCCCCATAGTACTTCATCCCCCATATAGTAATTCATCCCCCATATAGTAATTCATCCCCCATAGTAATTCATCCCCCATAGTAATTCGGCCCCCCTATAGTAATTCAGCTATCCCCCATATAGTAATTATCCCCCATAGTAATTCATCCCCCCTATAGTAATTCATCCCCCCTATAGTAAAAACATCCCCCCTATCAAAGTAATTCATCCCCCATATAGTAATGCCACTCACATCCTGATCATCCCTGTCAGGATGTGTGTAGGCGGGGACATATAGTAATTCATCCCCCATAGTAATTACATCCCCCATATAGTAATTCATCCCCCATATTAAACGGCGCGGGATCCCCCAAATAGAAATTCATCCCCCATATATTGACACAGGGGGGTACTTGGCTTTCATCCCCCATAGTAATTATCCCCCATATAGATAATTCATCCCCCATAGTAATTCATCCCCCCTATAGTAATTCTATCCCCCATATATTAATTCATCCCCCATAGTAATTCATCCCTCATATAGTAATTCATCCCCCATATTAATTCATCCCCCATATAGATAATTCATCCCCCATATAGTGAATTCTATCCCCCATATAGTAATTCATGAATTATATTAGGGGGGATTCATCCCCCATATGGGGGATGAATTCTATCCCCCATGATAGTAATGGGGGATGAATCCCCCATAGGGGGATTCATCCCTCATATGGGGGATAATTCATCCCCTATATTAATTCATCCCTCATATGGTAGATAGTAAGTAAGTAGCAAGTAGTAAGCCAAGTCCCCCCTGTGTCAATTCACTTACCTTTGCTCCTCGCGTTACTCTCGCCGTGATTTCCCTATGCCGTTCCGGTCTTCAGGGCGGACTGTGAGAGGAGCCTAGCTCCTCTCACGTTCGGGGGCTGCCCCGCCTACACACATCCTGACAGCCAATACACTGGCTATCAGGACTGTGGAGTAGCAGCGAGATATGGGCCAATCATTGCATTTGGCGCGCTGCCCTGGGGGCTGTTTTTTTTTTGGATCACGCTAAAACAGAGTACCCTGCCGCCCGAGAGGAGGGTATTTTCAGTTTAAAAAAATGTGGCACACAAGAGCCAATTTAATCGCGTGTAAAGAGCCGCAGATTTGTGGCTCGCGAGCCGCGGCTTGCCACCACTGTTCTAGATCAATGCCTTAGAAAGTACAGAAGCCAGTTGGTCAGCATAACAGTCAGAAGAAGGTCAACAATGGTCAGACCAATATTTCTCACAAGAGTCATGACAGGTTTACATTAACTACAATAACTATTGCCTATGCTAAGCCGATATAATGATATACTGTATGCAGTGAATAATACACAATGCACAAAAAGAAACAAAATAAATGTCAAGCTGATTTTTTTTTTCTTTTATAGTTTTTTGGATGAAGTGTAGGAGGGTTAGAACTCCTGTCAGGATTTATTGCTCTTTGTTTCCCATTGGATAGATTCACCCACTGGCAAACAAAGAAACCTGACAGAAGATTTAACCCTTTCTTACTGTATCCACAAATCCTAACAGCAACAAATATGTCCTCTTCTTCAGGTTGACTGGTAATGGATGATCCAAAGGTGGTGCTGATGACATGGTGAATGAACGTTACGGGGTGACGTCCCCTTTAATTCAGAGCAGAGGACTGAGGACATCTAGTGCTGGAAAAAAAAAGAGTGCTGCAAGAGACAGTTTAGCATTGAAAGATTGGTGTTGCAACCTGAGCTGTTTTTTTGTTCCAAACAGGCTATTGGGGAATTAAATACATTTTTTAAACATTTAGCACAAGGCTGCGCATTAGACCTCATTTACACTGGCATTGACAACTATGCATTTATATGCATTTAGAGCAGGGGTCAGCCTCCAGTAGATTGCGGCCAGATGACTGGGAGATCGCAATCTGGGCTTGCTGACCCGCCATCCCAGTGGATCAAACAGACTGCAATGCAGAGGAGGGACTACTTGGAAAGTTGGAGCTGTAATAGGGAACAAGAACTGCATAAAATGAGGGTTCATTTACATTTGCAGTTTGGGGGGTAGTAAAACCCCATAACTAAGACTTGTTTTTACCACCCCCACCCCAACCGCACCCCCTTTAGCTGCAGCGGCTAGGGGTGTACACATGTCACAGCTGCAGCAGGAGTTATATGCCCTGTCATGGTTGGTGGGTGAAGCCATTTGCCGTTCTGCAAGTGCCCTGCAACTTTGTGTGCAGTACAAGAGCTGAGCTGCTTTCCTCACCACCTGTTTTAACCCCTTGGACCCCCCAGAAGCATGCAGTTGCGGGTGCTTGCAGCGAGGGCCTATTTACTTCAATGGGTCGTTATTGTCAGGCAGTAAACCCCACCAAAAGCAACACGGGGTTTAATTGCTGCTGCAGCATGTGTACACCTTTGACTGATGCCTCAGCAGCTAAAGGGGATAGGGGTTGGGGGCTGATAAATCCGTGACTCAACCACAGGGTTTTACCACCTCCCAACTTTAAATGTGAATGAGTCCTAAGGGTGCCGCTGTTGAAAGCAAGTAAGGGCTCATTCGCAAGTGCAGCAGGCACTGCTGGTCCTCTAAAAAGCGATCCAAGTTTGTTTGACAGGTGGTGAGGAGGCAATATGTTGCCTCCTCATCATCTGATTTATGGGGAGCACAGTTAGTGAGTGTTTGGTGGAAGATGGAGTGTGGAGCCTGGGAGGGGCCTCAGGGAAGGGGCCTACCTACCGGTAGGTCGTTGGAAACGAGGATCTCCGCTGCACCACTGTCTCCTAGGGAGGACATCCTGAGCAGCAGGGAAGGAGCCAGCCCAGCAAAAAGCCTGAAGGTAGCTACCAGCCCACCACGCTGACAGGAGAGGACAGTGTGAGAACTTCTACACCCCCTGGGCCAGATAGAAGGAGAGGACAGTTAGGTAGAAAACTCAACTAGCTTCTCATCTGGGAATGTTTTAAGTTGGCAGTTTCTGGGCCCCCTTGCTCAGGAAATACCCTTGGTACAGCTGGGTGAAGGGAGGATTCATCTGGGGTCTGAGGAGGCACACCAAAGAGCTTTGAGGGCTCTCAAAGGAAAGACTGTTCCTAGTTCCTAAGGCGTTTGTCCTTAAAGTTCTAGAGTTTCCTTGGGCATCCTATACACCCCTAGACCCCATTCGAGTTATTTAACCCATTAAAAAATCACAAAACCAAACTCAAG